TCAGACATGAGCTGCGTTTTGAGAGACTTTATTGATCCTGAGGGAAGTTCAAGTTTTGCTGCAGCAAACTGTTGTTGCAATATTTCCACTGCACTTCTTAGTCGCTTGTGTCTCTCGGTCAAAGGTGTCAGTGCAGTTTAACAGGAGGAGTGGTCAGGAGGGTCAGCAGATCCTGTGGAAGAGCCAGAAGTGTCCCTCCCCTGTGTCCTGCAGCATCACAGCACATCACTGGTGTTTTGGTTGGTGTTGAAACGGTCCATTCCCTTAAAAGTGTTTCTTCTGGAAGATCTTCTGCCACATATGATGTAAAAACCTGTAGCATCTCAAATGTCCCAAGATAGCTCCTTAGTTAGTTAGCCTTTTACACAGTCTCCATGGATACAAGAAAAACAAACAGCTCATTTCACAAAATCCAACAGTCTGTTTCTCGTGTCCTTCGAACTCCACACGCTGCACGTCTTAGTTGGATAAAATTCTATGTTAAGTAAAAAACTGAGCTCAAAAAAAATTTCAAAAACTGTTCAGCGTGTGAGCCAGGTAGCCACAAACTCAGCCAACCACTCCGAGCCATGTAACAAAATGTGAGATTAATTTTCCCTTTTGTCTTTTTAAAATTTGCACTCGATAGCTTTATATCACTCTTACCACGTCGGCACAGATGCATCAGTCTCTGTGTCCTCCACTTGGTCATCTCTGCCTGAACCTGATGAAGGTTCCACGACTCCACTAAAGCCACAGGTTCCACATCAGGTTTCATGCCAAGGATTTTTTCCAGTGCGTCGTACCCCACAAACATTTCTTTGACTTTTGCAGAACTGCCAGTTTTATAAAGAACACCCCAAATTTAAATATAATATTGCTTATGTGTTTTTTGTTTTGACGCAGCACTGCTGGACTGACGGCTGAAGAGCACACTCTATCATCTGTTAACTGAAAACTGAGAGCATTTCAGCTTTGTGGATGCCTGACAGTTGAACACAAGTGCGCTCATCTGCCCATGTATCTATGAGGTACTTCACCTCCTCTCTTGACCACGTTTGTCCTCAATTCATCTCTAGTTCACCAAACTCGTACAAAGAATGAAGTTAGAACTTGTGGAGCGCTACAGAAGCTTCTGTAGACCAAAAAGGCAAATTCATAAGAGAGTTGGGCCGGATCGAGATTTAACTTCTGCCATTCTGTGATTCATGGATATTTTGGGCCCGTAGAACCATCATCCTGACAGTGCGTTATCGGACAGGAAATACAAACGCCTTTTTCCACGAGTATCCATCGCACCTCCTGACTGGAACATTTACTTACTTTATAGAATTTAGTATTTTTATTTTTTGATAATATATTCTTTAATGTGATTATTAATGTGACTGGATTACATTAGACATAATAGTACATTTTATAAGTTGATGGAAGAAATCACACTCCATTTTCCCAACTGCACCGCACAATTTGCCATATTTACCCCAATGTGTGAATCGTGAAGTACCGTATTAAATGTACTAGTATATATCTATAGTTTTCTGAATGATGAAAAATTTGACTGTTGCCATAGCAATTAACAATTTAAAACTAAATATTATATCATCTGAATGTGAAAAAGTGTTACACGGCAAAACACAGGATGTATGAAGTACAAAATACACCTCTGCCACCTCACTCATTTTGAATTCAAGTAATAGGGCCTTTAATTTTTTTTTAATTTATCATTATTTTTTTAATACCACACTTAATTTTTTTGAAACACTTGTGATTAACTAAACTAATCATGGATTTTATTAAAGCAAAATTACAGTATACCATGAAGTTTATTGTTTATTTATTATTTATATACATTTAAATATATTAGTTTTGGCACTTATTTTCCGTAATAATTAACACCAAAGCAGCAATAAATGCACGATGAATGAACGTAAAAAAAAAAAAGAAAGGTAATCTCCAATCATCCCGCGTTTCCCGAGCCCTTCAGTGCAGAGTTTAACCTTCTTATTAGCCTAAATGAGGGTGCGCTCGCTCCCGGTAATGGCTCGTCCCGGTGACACGGAGCGGCGTTTTTTTTTTACTGGTGGCACGACTTTGATTCTGTGGCGTCGTTTCATGTGCTGAAGATGTGAGTCTGCTGCCCCCACGTAAAAAAAAGGAAAGTACGAGCAAGACAAAGAGGAGAAGAGGGAGGGGGGGGGGGGGGGGGGGGATGTGGGTTGGAGAGCGTAATTAATTCACATTTTCTCCTTTAAATAAACGCACCGTAGATGAATTAAATATTGGACTATTTGAACTACTACTACTTTGCTTTTACGCGCGCGGATTCATTATCATATTGTGATTGCTCTCCCGCGCTCTGCTCTGAATATAAAAACACATTAGTAGAGGTATTTCTATATACACTTGGATACAAACTAGCCTACTATTCTTCATTAATTGTCGTGTACAACCTTTTAAAAGTCGTGCGTAAAACCGTGCGTCAGGAGCGTCCTCTCCAAATAGATTCAACCTGATATTCCTCGCCTTAATCTCAAACCAGGCTACTAATATCATATTTCATACACGCCTCTAGACATGCCCGCTGTCGTTATGTTTAATGTATAAAGGCACCATGATAAATATGCATGTATTCAATTAGGGGTATTACGCACGCCTCATTTGCATAAGGATTTAGGAGCTTAACATCATATTTGTGCTATAAAACTTCACAATAGCCTAAACGCTATGTCAAGGGAGGGGAATCACAGGTGTGCGGATAAGAAGAAGAAAAAAAAAAGACAATTATCAATGGAAAAATAAAGAATAAATATTGAAATTGAATGCGCATAATTTGAAGTTAAAATGTTTCTTATTCCAGGTGTGATTATGGAAATAAATTGCGAGGCGTAAAATAACATAAGCAATCGCAGGGTCGTTTGGGAACACAGGAGTTAGTTCATAATAGAAAAATAAATAAAATAAAAGGTCTTGCGTGTCATTTGCTCCTTTACAAGAAAAAAAAAGGCGTCTTGTAATGACGACTCCAAACCCCTCCTCTCTGTGTCCTCCACCGATACGTGCGACTGCCCCCCCAACCCCATACTCCAATTAAGGGCATAGAGCTAATTAGACTGAACCGATCCGGGATCAGATTATGTACTGTAGAAAAATACAATAGAAGGTTGTGCTTTTCAGTCAATGTGTTGGAGAAAGCAATAAAATAAAATGCGTAATGGATACATGTTTAACGTCATTTCACCTACACTGAAAATATATAAATGGAATATATATTCTTGTCATATAGTACTTCTAAAAATATGTTAATATACAGTATTTATTGATATATTGAATAAATAATTGCAGGTGGTATATAAGAATTATTGGACATAATTTTAAGAAAAACTACAGGCGGTGAACGTGTGTGAATTACAGTCCCAATGCTTTAAAATAAAAACTTAATTCAAATATAAAAAATATGATGAGTTCATATAAAAATATTAATTAGGCTACAACTATAGAATATAAATACTTAAAAATAGATTTATGTAAATTATATAGCATGCTTCGGTCAGAAATGCTGTAGCCATGGACACAAGAAACCACGGGGGAGAAGACACATTTTGGAGAAAGACTTAACCTCAAAATGTTACAATGAGCGCGCACTAAAAGAGGATTAAAATCACAGAAAGTCATTAATAATAGATGCATTTTGTGAATTAGAATCATAGAAGTTGCATACACAAGCAACTCAGCAACAAAAACGACTAGAACAATGATAAAATAAAGTGAATACAATGAAGGCTTCTAAAAGTATTAATTGGCACGCTTTATGTGAGAAGTGTTCAGATGCTTGTGGAAACATAATAGACTGTTAGATATTTTAATACACATACGCAGGTGTCACAGGCGCATTGCATTCGTTTTCTGTACGATTTAAATGCGCGTAAGGTTTTAAAAATGATTTCTGCCTTCTTGGAACCATAACAACAATCAAAACAGTCGACTCTCAGCGCTTTCTTCCTGTTTGCTGCACTTGCTGCCACTTGTTCCGCTGTGCGCAGAGCGGTGGGTGCCATGGAGCGGTGCCTCGGGGGGAAAAGTCCCAGCAGACCCCCTCCTGAGTGTGATCCAGCCCCGAACAAGAAAAGCCCTTTCGCTCCTAGACAGTCGCTCCTTCGCAAACGCCTGCTTCTTATTTCCAGTGAGCGACAGCTGAAGTAGTATATAGGCGCACAATTTGACTGAGCAGCCAATGAACGCGGATGGTACGTGGTGACGCAACAGGGCCCCGTTGATAAGGAGCAGGGGAGTCCAAGCGGGACCTGAGAAGGAGGATCGTGGGTTTTGGGGGGCCAGCGTTAGTCTCGCCTATCATCAGCTGAACGTGGAGCCAACTCCTCCTCTATAGCGTTACGCACAGCCCCTGATCGAGACCCACTAGTCACCAAACACACTGCTGAGGACCAGGGATTGTAAAAGTGTTTTGTAAAGAAAATCAGCTCTAAACTTGGACTTAATCTGGAGAAAAAGAAAAAGAAGACGTTCCTTTTTTTCTTTTTTGGACATGTATTTTTTCTTCTGCTTGTGATGCTCTCGATCTAATCTGCTGCCCGGCTCTGGCACTGCCACTTGCACTGACTGTTCTGCGCGAAAAGGGACATCATTTCGTGCCAATGCCTCGCAGACTGCCGACATTCTGAAATATTAGTCCCGGCTGGAGGAGGAGGAGAAGGAGAGGGGGAAGAGGCTGCGGGGCTTCCACAGTTGGTACGTTCATTTAAAGCAGCACAGAGAGGCTAGAAATATTAGACAAATACATTGCGATCGGCTGGAACGAAATCATTGGCTTGTTAATGAATTAGTGATAGCTTGTGAGGAATGAGAGGTGCACAGATTCGGATGACGGTTTCCATTGGCAGATGAGACGTAGTGTGGAGAACACGTGTCCAGTTTGTGTCTCCTAGTTTCCCCGGTTCGGATCGCACTGTCACAGCAGCATAAGAAAAGGCTTTTTACGCACTGCTTTCTTTTGGAGTGGCGTGCTGCTTCTGATGGACATCTTGGCTTGCAGATCCGAAGAGAACATCTACAACATCATCCCCTCCGCGGCAACCATGCTCTTCCACGGCCTCCCCGGAGGCGACGTGCACGGCGTGGTGGAGGAGATGGAACGGCGAGGCAAGAGCGAGTCCACGGCCATCAGCTCAGCCATCGACATGGGCGAGTCCGAGACGGTAGGACGCTGCGCAGAGCCGTGCCACGAGCTCGCTTCACTCACACGGAAATGAGCTGTTCAGGTTTAGCTTTGAGAAACTTCCAAGGCCCACGTAGTTTGTCTTTAAACTGTAGTTCTAGTCAAAGTCGCTGAAATGAAAAGCGTGCAAGCGTTTCTTCAAATGTGTTGGCTATTTCTTTAAGTTTTATGTGATTTAGCCTTTAAAAATAAAAACGGCAACTACTTTTTACACTTGAATTTATATTAATTAACAGCCAGAAAATAATAACACCCAATGGCACCAGCATAATATTTATTTTAAATTTAAAGACGTTGTATATTTCTGAAATAAATAAACACTAGTGCTACTCGGTGAGAAAAATAAAATATTTAGTTTTACAGTAATACTATCTTACTTTTAATAATAATAATAATAAATAGTCTCTAAATTTCAAGGATATTCTTAGTTTAAAATGTGTTGTTATATTGTCATAAAAAAAATCTACAATATAAATGTATTTTATGTTTATTAAGCTCGTTTAAAATTCTTCTACTTTATCCACTATTATCTACTACTACACTATTGTACAATTATAAGGTGATACTCATGGGGAACTATAGAATTTTTAGCATAACATTATGGTTCAAAACACGCGATTTTTTTTTTTCAATATTGTTTTTATTAGCGTGGTGTTTGCAAAATGTTCATAAATGTGTGTTCGCGCGCTGATATTTCACAGCATAAATGACACTTTTATTGTTTGGTTAAATGTGCACCTGAAACATGATTAAAGTCGTGTTTTGGAGACTGAGATTAGGGACTGAGGCTTTATTGATAAACAGGCAGGATAATAGGTAATAATAGGCCCTTTGTCCCTGTAGCATTTGATTGCACACCCTACCAGGCGTGTTATTGTCATTACGCACACATTTTCATGCTTGTCACTGACCGTGTGTCCTCGTGCCCTGTGTCCAGACCATGCCGTGCCTAAGCAGCGAGCGCGTGGCCCTGTGCGCGGGCTGCGGCCGGAAGATCGCGGACCGTTACTACCTTCTGGCCGTGGACAAACAGTGGCACATGCGCTGCCTCAAGTGCTGCGAGTGTAAACTCAACCTGGAGTCCGAGCTGACCTGCTTCAGCAAGGACGGCTCCATCTACTGCAAAGAGGACTACTACAGGTATGGGCAGCGACACGTTCGACCTGTGGGCAACTTACAAAAGTAACTGCAGCTGCATGGAAACTTCATCACTGTTTTGAGTTTTGACTTAGGGGCTAATCTCACGACATAATGTGGGTACGTTTTAAATGAATTATTCAGGTTGTATTTCTGAAAAGATGGTGCATCACTTTTGTTGACATTGTATGGAGCGCTTTTTGACAACATGTTTTTGTTGTGTTTTCTTATCCACTGTTTTAACCAACACTATTGTCGCCCTCTTACCTAGTAAACGTTTGCACTGATTTTATTTTGATTATGTTTTATTATGTTTCGAGGAGCAGTAGCTCATGCAAATAAAGATTAACCAGTTTCAGGGAGAAGACTCAGTGCCAGCACGGTTGTTAAGCGTTAGCCTGCACATAACAAGCAGCTCGAGTTTTCTCATGGGGAGAGAGAGAGAGCAGTCCCTCGACACAAAGGCAATGAGTGGAGCATTGGAAAATCAGAGGACGATGTGTTATTTTTCATATTGACCAAATATAGATATTATTTTGTTTTATTTCCAGAGAGACGATTTCAGGGGCATTTAAAGCTCGAAAGCAGCTCCGTGTAGTTTTATTTTCAAAGTGACAGGCATACCGGAGGAGGAATGTACCCAAAAAATGCAGAAAACTGTATTAAAAATGACAGAGTATTTCAGTGCGTAATGGAGAGCATTAGAAAATATTAAATAACATAAGAGTCCGTTAACGTTTATAAAATCTTTAAAATAACACAGAAAAAAACATAACTAAAAGACACGAGGTGCAAAAGCTAAAGTGTCTTTCACAACATATTGTCGCCATTTTGGTGCTGAATTGCTGAGTTGTTAAATTGCGTCAGTGTGTTTAACTTTTGCGCACAAACTTTTAGCAGCACTTTTCAAACTTAACTCGAGTGTGCAGTCGTGTTCATTGTTCTGTGCCTTTTGTGTCCCGCACTGACCCGTGTGCAGCCGCTGATGCCGTGTCTGTGTTGTCCGCAGAAGATTTTCGGTGCAGAGGTGCGCCCGGTGCCACCTGGGCATCTCAGCGTCCGAGATGGTGATGCGCGCGCGGGACCTGGTCTACCACCTCAACTGCTTCACGTGCACCACGTGCAGCAAGATGCTGACCACCGGGGACCACTTTGGCATGAAGGACAGCCTGGTGTACTGCCGCCTGCACTTTGAGACTCTCATCCAGGGAGAATATCACTCTCACTTTAACCACGCGGACGTGGTGGGGCACAAAGGCCTAGGCCCGGCCAACACGCTCGGACTATCCTACTTCAACGGCGTGGGCACGGTGCAGAAAGGCCGGCCACGAAAGAGGAAAAGTCCCGGGCCTGGAGCAGAGCTGGCGGCTTACAACGCAGGTAAGAGCAGTGCATAATGCGGAACACACCAAGTGTGCTTTATGGTGCGTGTTTGTGCGTCACATAAACAATGAGGAAGAAGGAACAGACCTGGAACGTGCTCTGGTTTTCTATTAAAATGTATGTCACTGGGCCTATACTCGTCCACACCACAGAAGCTAAAATGACATTAAAACACGTAAAACAATGTGCAGCTAATAACAACAGAACCCTGAGTTATGCAGAGAGCGCACGAGCTGATTAGAGCTGACAGATTAACTGAACATTCCTATAGGGCTTATGTGTCTGTTCCAACTCTCATAATAGCTTTATCACAACTCTGACGCGTTCTTAGCAGTGTTTCAAATCCCAACTGATTCAATATTACACCCTATAACAAAGATAATATTATAAATAGCTCCACTTTGGTAAACTTTGGTGCGTCTGTAAAGAGAAACGGTTTGAGCGTGCATTCTCTTCCTCTTGTGTTTGTGCGTTATTAAAAACATGTTGTTTTCATCCGAGCTTGGAGTTCCTTGTTGAAAAATGGGGCCAAAACATTGTGCATGAATAAGCTTGAACAGAACAGCTTCCTGCTCGAGTGCCGAGGCTAAACCAAAGTTGAACTCATTCTCAGGCTATCGCTGCCGGGTCAGGCCTCACTCCCTCTTAACGATTCTGTTTAGTTTGGTACAAAAAGATTCAAATAGTGCACGGATATCTGTCAGTTTTAAGACACGATTATAGTCACGTTCCAGTCTAACCAGAAAAGAGAGAAGACGTTTTTTTTTTTTTTTTTTTTTTTCGTTCTTGTCCTCTTAAAGGGATAAAAAGCTAAAGTTTTTTGATGTTCCGGCTTTCGCTTTCACCCCTTTCCAGTTGTCAGGCCGCATAGACGTCTACAGACCCCAAAACCCTCCTCCTCCTCCTCCTCACCCTCCTCCTCCTCAACCTCCTCACCCTCCTCTTCCTCACCCCCACCACCACACACATACACTCGCTGCTGGAGCCCCCTTTTGCACTGGGACAGGGCCAGAGCGGGTGTGCGTACCAGCCAACCAGATCAATCTGATTTGATGAGTTATTCACTGGAAGAGGGAGCAGGGAATACAATCACTTTCTTTCACTAAATGCTGGCTCTGGAATTTGATTTTTCTAAAGCTTTGGCCTCAAGTTGCTTAACAATATTTCTTCATTTCACACTAAAGACGCTTACAGTTTTGTCTTCAGTTGTTCCTCGAGATTTGACACTGAATGTACTGACTTGCATTGTCTTTTCTCTTATTATAATACTTGTAAAAATGCAAATTTGGAAGCTGCTTAGGTATTAAAAAGACCTCACAGCTAATAAATATATAAGATAGTTACTTGTGGCTTGCAGTTTATATGAAAGATCAAATTCTGTTTTGTTTTAAAGTATTTTCCAAACACAGGGACATGAAGATTTACCTTTAAAGCAGCACCTAAACTTTCTAGTCTTAAAAAGATTATGAAGGGAAGAGGAGCTCGTATCTGATTGTTAACTTGATTTATTAAAGGATTATCGCAAAATTATGAACGTGAAATTAGAATTTTCAAGCCAGTTCTCATTAAAAGTCAGTGTACCGAAATACTAAATAAGATCCAAAATCATTTCTGTTTTTTGTTTTTTTTTTTTGGATCTGAAATGTTTAAAAATTGAGCCTGGACCTTCTCAGATTCCCAAATATGGTCATAGAATGTTTTTATTGTTTATATGAAAACATTACAAGATTAAAAACACGTATTATTGTTTACATTTGTGTGTGTAAACTAAAAACTAGGTTGTAAATTTAAGTTGCTTTCTTGACTTGCAGTGTTTCCAAACAGTTTGAATTCCACCTGCTGTGACGCAAGAAACCCCAAACGCTTCTATAAACAATTCACAAGTTAAAAAAGAAAAAAAAATCTGTCTACAAATTATCTCAAATTAAACCTGCTTTCACAAATTTACACACCCAAATTAAACTGATTAGACCCTTGCGAGACTCCTTTTGTTTTTAAAAGCCAAGAAAACCTCTTTGTTGTCATTGTGGCCCTGGAGGAGCGAGACGAGCACAAGCTGCAGCGCGCCCTCTTCTGTCAGCACCGGGAACTGCCAGCACCTGCACAGAATGATCAGACCAGACCATATGCGCGCTGCTTAAAACGTGGCATTGGAAAAGAAAACAAAAAAACAAAAAAATAGACATAAATAGAAACATTAAAACCGCGCGTAAAAACGGAGCGAGCCATGGAACGGTCTCGAGGATTAAAACGTTCTAACATATGCCGGGTCCAGTTAGCAGCATTTGTTTCGGTCTAATTAAGATAAGTGTTATTCTGGTGCTTTCCACTCTCTTCAGATTCAGAATTAGCCGAGCTCGCGTTCAGAAATCGAACTGTGAGGCGGGCAGCAACACTTCCGCCCGTGCCAAGAAATCCGCAGACTGCACGGGACCAATACGAGGCAGCGCGCAATGCTCAGGCTTTCCTCGGTGTGTGGAGTGTAAAATTATATGTGGGAATTGGATATAAGGAGTACAGGAATATATACATGGTGTAGCAAAACGGGGAGAGGGCATACTTTGCATATTATGGTAAAAGATTACGATTGGAAGCGTTGTTTTTAAAAGTGAAACTAAAAAAGTCGTTTATTTGCTTGATTGAAAAACTTCTGCATGTTTTTTTTTTTTTTTTTTTTTTTTTTGTGAAGTCAAGAAAAGTTGGTAGGCTTTGGCAGTGTCGACACTGTTCTTGAAAGGCCTGTAATTGTAATGACAATTTTTTAGACAATGTTATGGCATTTTATCAGAAATTTGTGATGCAATTTGCTTGTAAATGTCACGGTTGAGGTTCAAGTGTTGCACAAAAAGTGAGCAGACGGTAAAATTGGCTATAAAAGTTCAGAATTATCACTTTACGTTGTTATTTGAAAGATTATGCTGCGAATATGTTTTAAATCGACTCCTTTTACGTGTATTTAAAAAAATATTTTGATCAAATTTTGCATATTTCCAAATCAACTATTGCGATATTAGACCTATCTGTTTCCTAAATATCTAGAAGTAGAAGTAACCACAAGAAAAGTACATCAACTAACGTGCCGTGTATAAATATATGAAGTATTATTTTGTGTTTACATTGTGTTTTCCTTTTGTCCCAATTTGACAAAAGTACAAGGTTATTTTCAAAACACACTCTTCAATTATCTTGTAAAACTATAATTCAGATGATAATTGTAAAAAAAAGACACAGGAGACTATAAAAGTGTGGTCAAGTAAGAATACTGCAAAAATATGACTCAAGTAGGAGTGAAAAGTCAAGTTAGGCTGGATGATAAAGGAAAAAAATATCAAATCGTGAAATTTCCGCATTTAGAATTGCAAAAAAAGTCACATTCAGGACATGTTTGTACAGATCTAAACCACAGAATCAGTCCATATTCAGGTTATTTTGTTATTTGTGGTGGAAATTACGATAACTTAAACACTAGAGCCTTTGCGATTTGCTAATGCGGCGATTAAAATTATGATCAAGTTCTGGGATTTTATTTGTAAGTGCTTAATGCGAAAATAGGGCCACATAGGGACGAGCGCGCCGGGCCAGAGCAGACAGACCCTGGTATGGTTCACATCTGGACGAGCAGCTGTCAGGTCACTCGCTATATGGAGATCTGGAGTGCATTGATTTTTATTAGTGTACATGACAAGCGGGAAGTAACGGACAAGAGCTGACAATTCTCTCTGTGACACGAAGCATCACGTGTGGACGAGGAGCAGGCTGCTGAGGCCGATCTTTAACTTAAAAAACGATCTGGAGTTGGTGTGTTATCACTGCAGGCCATAAACATGTCTAAATATTAGAATACTTTTGGTGTCTTGAAACTATTTTTTTTATTATTGACATATTTTTTGCTCTGAAAACGATCTGTGTTTTAGATTAGCTGCACCATTGCTTCCAAAAATTCTTAAAATTTTAGAATTCCTTTTGCACATTTATTATTTTTTTTACATGTCTCATCGCATGTTGTGGTTTTATTTTGCTTTAAATGTTGAAAAAATTTGAATCTAAACTTATCTCCTGAAATTTCGACAAAATTTTGACAAAATTTTGAAAAATAAAAGACTTTACTTTAAAAAGACAACCTGACAACAGAATAACATACTAACTCATTAATTAAGCATTAACAAGGCTTTAATTAACCAGTCATTAACACTTGTACTTACAGATATTGATTTACACTTGTGTACTAACTTTAAATCAATTTATCTAAAGCATTTTTTAACTTAAACTTCAACATATTCTTCTCACAAATCTATAATCATAAACTTCAGAATGGGCCTTCAAAGTTTGGAAAAAGCCATAGTGACATTTTGAAGTACTTGTATTCGTAGTAGTACTTTTTTCTTCGAGTATTTTGTCAGCATCGACTATGAAAGTACTAAGCTTACATTTTTTGATTCTCAGTATTTTAAATCTAAAATATATTCTCAGTTTTCATCAAAATAATTAAAAGTTGTGTACAGTCATAACAGAAACACGATATTGTAACTATACTTTCGAATAATTCAGGTTTAGTATCTACTTAGTTACTTCCAACGTCTTATATAAAGAGTCTAAGCCTGAATTATACTTTGAAATCTAAAATATATTCTCAGTTTTGGTCAAAATAGTGAAAAATTGTGTACAGTTATACCGGAAAGACGATATTGTAACTATACTTTCGAATAATTCAGGTTTAGTATCTACTTAGTTACTTCCAACGTCTTATATAAACAGTCTAAACCTGAATTATACTCTGAAATCTAAAATAAATTTTCAGTTTTCGTCAAAACAGTTAAAAATTGTGTACAGTTATACCGGAAACACGATATCGTAACTATACTTTCATCAACCTTGAATACTTTAGGTTTAGTACATACTTATTTACTTCCAACATCTTATATAAACAGTCTAAGCCTGAATTATACATTGAAATCTAAAATATATTCTCAGTTTTGGTCAAAATAGTTAAAAGTTGTGTACAATTAAACCAGAAACACGATATCGTAACTATACTTTCGAATAATTCAGTTTTAGTATCTACTTAGTTACTTCCTACGTCTTATATAAATAGTCTAAGGCTGAATTATACTTTGCACGTACTTCATCGAGACTAATCAAGATGAACCGTGAGCTAACCCCCTGACAAAAACTCATAAACCCGCCACCGTACCCGACCTCGCGTGACAGAACTCCCACCATTTCGTCTAATCCCGCACGGTATATTTCACCGGCCTGTCTCTCCCTGTGTCTTTAGCCCTGAGTTGTAACGAAAACGACGGAGAATCCATGGACCGGGACTCCCAGTACAGCTCCAGCCAGAAGACCAAACGCATGCGCACCTCCTTTAAGCACCACCAGCTCCGCACCATGAAATCCTACTTCGCCATCAACCATAACCCAGACGCTAAAGACCTCAAGCAACTGGCGCAGAAGACGGGCCTCACCAAGAGAGTCCTGCAGGTACGCGCATATGGATTTTACGTACGCTCTTATTAGAGTAACGGGTAAAAAGAAGTGGGTGTGGGTGGTGTGCAGCAGAAAGCAAAGTGTTACAAAACAGTACCCAAGTAGACAAGTAGAAAAGTACTCAGCGTTTAATCAAGTGAGTTGCCTAAATTATGTAACCGTTATGATTCAGATTGTATAGTATTTGTAGTATTTATTGCAGTTTTTTGGTCATAATGTGGAGACAGTATTTGAATTTACTTTTAAATATTTATGCAGAGGTTGGTAGAGTTACAAGTACTTTAATCAAGTAGTGGTTATGTGGATTGTGCAGACAGTATGTGTGGTAGTGTGTGTGAAGTATAATAAAAAGTATTCTCATGAAATAGTATGCAAGTAGAAGAAGAAACGTACTTCATTAAGTGAGGTTTGTGTATTTGGTCAAAGTAGCTGGATACAGTACTTGATATTTTTAGTACTTTTGCTAAGGTTGATAGAGTAGTGAAAGTTTGAATATACTGTATGTAGTATTGTTAGTACTGTAAGAAGTAGTAGTAAAGACATATTTCTAAACAAAATTGATAATTAAATGTTTAAAATAAAGTGTTCTTACAAAACAGTATGCAAGTAGTAGAGTTACAAGTACTTTAATCAAGTAGTGGTTATGTGGATTGTGCAGACAGTATGTGCGGTAGTGTGTGTGAAGTATAATAAAAAGTATTCTCATGAAATAGTATGCAAGTAGAAGTAGAAAAGTACTTCATTAAGTGAGGTTCTTGTATTTGGTCAAAGAGGCTGGATAGAGTATTTGATACTTTTAGTACTTGTATCATGGTTGGTAGAGTAGTGAAAATTTTTTAATATACTGTATGTAGTATTGTTAGTACTGTAAGAAGTAGTAGTAAAGACAATGTATGTAAATAAAATGTGAATTTCATGTCAAATCTGAAAAAAGAAAAGTATTCTTAAAAATAGTATGCAAGTAGAAGCAGAAAAGTACTTCATTAAGTGAGTTTTTTGTATTTGGTCAAAGTGGTGGGATACAGTATTTGATACTTTTAGTACTTGTGCCATGATTGGTAGAATAGTGAAAAACTGTAAGTACTGTAAGAAGTAGTAGTAAAGACATATTTCTAAACAAAATTAATAATTAAATGTTTAAAATAAAGTGTTCTTACAAAATAGTATGCAAGTAAAAGTAGAAAAGTATTTCATTAAGTGAGGTTTATGTATTTGGTCAAAGTAGGCTGGATAGAGTATTTGATATTTTTAGTACTTGTGCTAAGCTTGGTAGAGTAGTGAAAATACTGTAATATACTGTATGTAGTATTGTTAGTACTGTAAGAAGTAGTTGTAGTAAGACAATGTATGTAAATAAAATGTAGTGATTTTCATGTCAAATCTAGAGAAAGAAAAGTATTCTTACAAAACAGTATGCAAGTAGAAGCAGAAAAGTACTTCATTATGTGAAGTTTATGTATTTGGTCAATGTCGGCTGGATAGAGTATTTGATATTTTTAGTACTTGTGCTAAGGTTGGTAGAGTAGTGAAAATACTGTAATATACTGTATGTAGTATTGTTAGTACTGTAAGAAGTAGAAGTAAAAACATTTATTTAAAAAATCCATATAGTACAGTGAGCAAATCAATATAGGAAACTGATTTATAAAAAAATAAACAAGGTATTGCAACATCAAGTTTCCAAAAAAAGATTGTAACTTTTTCAAAATCAGTAATGTTTTTATGCATTTTGTGAGCGTCCAAAAACTTGAGACTAACTTCCGATAAAAAATGTGAAAATGAAAACAAGAAACGTAATTTAATCCTCAAAAGTGACTCAACTACAGCGTGATTCGTCCCTCCCCTCCTCTGATATTTTCTATATGTAAACACTTAGTTGGAGTGCTTTGCCAAGTGGCCAAAGGAATCCACCGGGCGTCCAACCCAAACCTCGCTGTGTCCAAGTGCAGTATACTGTATGAGCTGCAGAGAGCCAAATAAAAGCCTGCTTAACTTTTGGACAACTTTCAGCTCGCAGTAAACATTCTACGATACAGCCTATTTCTTTTTTTCACTTTTTACGTTCTCATTCACGCTCGATTAAATCTATTTTCACGAAAGGGGAGACCTATATTTTCACTTGGGTTTGTGTTTTTGTCAAAGCTGGACCAGAGTTTTTGACCAATCGCGCGCCAAGTTTTCGACCAATCGTACGTCCTCAGCGAAAAGCAGCGATCCAAATCCGAACGGTGGAATTGTCAGTGGTCGAGTCAAAGTCCATAAAGCAGGAATGCAGAGTTTTGAAAGATAGTAGTTCCACTCTGGCTCCTATGTACTAGAATATAAAAAAAAATATGGGAAAAGAGTTAGGAAAAAGTAGCAAGGAATAATTCTGAAGGATTTGAAGTCTTATCCAGTGCTCTAGATTTCTAATCCTATAAAATGACTGCTCACTTTGAAGTTCTATACATATTTGGTGGGTTATATAATAGTTGTGCTTAGGATAAGGGTTGTGTGTATGTAAAGGATAAAATCAGATTGGTACATGAGCTAAAATTGTTAGTAGTGCATTGTTTAAAAATATAAGAAGAAAAAGTACACACAAGATACTGCATTTGGATAAAAACTATGAATGCTTAAACTTCATGGGAAAATATGGGGAAAAAAGTTTGAAACAAGATCTTACGGATGAGAGAATCGATACAAAATATCAATACATCTATACTGACACAGGTATCGAAAAGTATTCTTGTTTGAATATGCCAATACTTCTCCAAAAGTACAGTTTTATATTTGAGTTTTTTGGTAAATGGTGAGTTATTTTAGTTTATCTGCACATTATTTCATTATTGACACTACAGTAAAATGATTTATTGTAAACATTTCAATGCATTTTATTGCACAACTCATTGGTATCGGTATTGGATCGATTGGATAGTATTAATTATCACTAGGTATTGTAGTTATCGAAACAAAATCGCTGGTATCACTACTAGATTTTCAATACAGTCTTTAACCCATGTCCAATTTGGCATTTAAACGTGCATTGTGCAACTTTTTAGTCTGAGAGTCTGCTACCATGGAGATACTATTGCTTTGCCTGTAATGTTCCACAATATGGCATTAAACTTACAATAAAAGATGCATTTTTTCAATTATTGGTGTTTTTATAGCTCAAAAACACCTTTAAAAACATGCTTTTTTACTATGAGCTGGGGCGCTTCTTTACAGACCTGACCTGTAAATAAGAAGAAAAAGTACACACAAGATACTGCATTTGGATAAAAACCATGAATACTTAAACTTCATGGGAATATATAGGGAAAAAAGTGTAGCATTGGTTAAAAAGCGAGACAAGATCTTACTAATGAGAGAATCGATACAAAACATTGATCCATCTATACGGACACAGGTATCGAAAAGTATTCTTATCTTCTTGAATGTCAATACTTCTCCAAAAGTACAATTTTAGTCCATTTTTCATAGTTTATGTTTTACTTTTATGATAAATGGTGAGCTATTTTAGTTTATCTGCACATTATTTAATCTGTAGATCAGTTCAAGTTATGATGGAGCAAAAATATTGAGGCTACGGTAAAATGATTTATCGTAAAAACATATCAATACACAACTCATTGGTATCGGTATTGGATCGATATTGCAACTCTTGCTGTAGTATTACTTATTACTAGGTATTGTAGGTATCGGAACAACATATCTACAAGGTATTTACAAGGTATCTACCAAAAATTGTATAAAAAATAAAAAATAAAAACAGTTTAGAGTCACTCTTTAAAAGCTTCAGTATACAGTCTTTTACCCATGACTAATTTGGCATTTAAACGTGCATTGCGTAACTTTTCAGTTTGGGTGTCTGCTACCATGGAGATATTATTGCTTTGCTTGTAAAGATCCACAATATGATATTAAATGTATAATAAAAGATACATTTATTCAATTATTGGTGTTTTTATAGCTCAAAAACACCTTTAAAAACATGCAAATATTCTTGTCCTCTTGAATATGTCAATACTTCTTCAAAAGTACAATTTTAACCAATTTTTTACTGTTTATACTTTAGTTTTATGTTAAATGGTGAGTTATTTTAGTTTATCTGCACATTATTTAATCTTTAGGTCAGTTCAAGTTGTGATGGAGCAAAGATATTGATGCTACTGTAAAATGATTTATTGTAAAAAAAAATAATAATAATTTCAATGCATTTTAATTCACAACTCATTGGTATCGGTATTGGGTCGATATTGTGACACTTGGTGTAGTTTTACTTATTACTAGGTAGTGTATCTATTGAAACAAAATCACTAGTATCACTACTAGATCTACAAAAAAAATAAAAAATTTAAACAGTTAACAGTCACTCTTAAAAAGCTTCACTTTTACCCATGTCCAATTTAACATTTAAACGTGCACTTTTCAGTTTGGGAGTCTGCTACCATGGAGATACTATTGCTTTGCCTCTAATGTTCCACAATATGGCATTAAACTTATAATAAAAGATGCATTTATTCAATTATTGGTTTGTTTATAACTCAAAAACACTTTAAAAAACATGCAAGTATTCTTGTCTTGTTGAATATGTCAATACTTCTCCAAAAGCACAATTTTAACAAAAATTTTTTTTTATTGTTTATACTTTAGTTTTATGGTAAATGGTGAGTTATTTTAGTTTATTGTAAAAAAATAAAATAAATAAAAAAACATTTCAATGCATTTTAATTCACAACTCATTGGTATCAGTATTGGATCAATATTGTGAGACTTGCTGTAGTATTACTTATTAGATATCAAACCAAAATCACTAGTATCACTACTAGATTTACAAAAAATTTAATTAAAAACAGTTAAGAGTCACTCTTAAAAAGCTTCACTTTTACCCATGTCTGATTTGACATTTAAACATGCATTGCGTAACTTTTCAGTTTGGGAGTCTGCTACCATGGAGATACTATTGCTTTGCCTGTAAAGTTCCACAACATGGCATTAAACTTATAATA